TCTGCAAACCAAACCTAGAACACTCTGGCTTTTCCCGCTGCTGGAGTTGCTGGTTTGGCTTCTGCGTGTGGTGCTTGACAACACAGAACCAGCCTGTGTTTCATTGAGGAGGCCCTTTTACATTCCCACTTGAAAATACGTACCTGGAAATGTAGATGGATCACAACAGTTTATGCACAGATCAGACTTTGAGTGTGAGAGACAGGTGTGTGGGGTTTGTTGATTTTTTTTTTTTGCCCTAGTTCTGCGTGGTACTAAATTAAACATAGCTTAGGATAAACAGAGGCACAGTTTCCCACACCTGAGAATAGCAGAATGATAGCATTTCATTTTAGGATTACCTAGTTTAATAAAGTATCTGAAATAGTAGAGGAGTAGAAGTTGTGCTTTACTAGTAATCTTGTTGTTACTTGTGTTCCATTGCTGCTTTGAGCTTGCATGACATTTCTTTGTTTAGTTTTTCATTCTAATTTTGGGACATGGATGCAGGCACTTTTGCTTTTAAGTTCTAACATGTGATTAGATCCTTTGCTGCTCAGAAAGATCTCCAGGGTTTATGACCTTACTAGCCAATCCTTACTGCCATTTTATTTGATCTCCTTACAGCAGAGATTATTACTGTTTGTTCCAGCACTGTTCAGAGGTCTTTTGCTTATCTTTCTTTTCAAGAACAACTGGATTTTGGAACTGGGAGAGCAGGAGCAAGTTGAACTAAGTCATCTGACCTGGAGAGGCAGACAAGGAGAGGGATGCCTAAGCTGTTAAGAAATACTGCAGTTTAACATGAGTGCTGTGCAGTTTGGTATGCTGTTTGTTTAGCATTTCTTACTTAGCATGAGTAGCTAGATTTGTGGAAGCCTTAGGCCACAAGCTAAGGTGAACTTTCACCTAGAACTTGCTCTTGGTTGTGATAGAGTTAGTTTTCTTCCTGACAGCTGATACAGTGCTATGTTTTGGGTTTAGCATGAGAACAATGTTGAAAACACACTGATGGTTTAGTTTTTGCGAAGTAATGTTTACCTTAAGTCTAGGACATTTCACTTTCCCAGGCTCTGCCTTCGAGCAGGTGCTCAAGAAGTGAAAAAAAACAGAAGATAAGGAGGCTACAACTTGCAGCTCGACAGGGTAACAACACCCTGTCTGGAGGCAGAGAAGGAATCTAATGGGTATTAGAGGACCCCAAACCAGAAACCACCGTTGGACCAAAAAGGTGCATGGATTGCTCACTGAAATCTTTCTCCTGGGTCCCTATCTGGAGGCACCCGGCTCAAGCTGCTTTTCTGCTGTACCATCTGAATCATTTATATTTTTCTTTGTAAGATTCAATGCTTGAGGCCCTGGTCCAGGCCACCTAGGGATGAGCCTGAGGGAGGTGAAAGCACCCAAGAGTGAGTGTGTGTGTGAGGCAGGAAAGGGGCACACAGCTTGCTGCAGTCGCCCACTGCAAATACGTGTCTGAACAGTGTTTGAATGCTCAGCTTCTTTCATGTTACGCCTGCACGAGGGTAGATGTATGCAGAAGGGGTGAACTGCCTTTATATGGCAGTTCATGCTTGAATTTCACAACACAGGAAGCTGAAATGTCTTCTCTCAGGAATGGACCACACCTCCTGGGAGATACAGGCTGATGTTACAGAATGTGGGGAACAGCACCTGCTCCCTTGGGTATCCTAGGATATTCATTCAGCATCCCAGGTGAAGTACTGGGGCCAAACAGTCCTAGGCAACATTTACCTGGAAGCAGGGATGGTAAAAGTAAGTTTATTTTCAAATGGTTGCTTGCTCTGTATGCCTGGTGTGCATACTGTATTGCTTTACTTTTTTACCTGCTCTGCTTTCCTGTGCAGAAGTGGCAGCCAGGCTTTTAATTGAGGCTGTTCAGTTTGATTCTGAAGTTTACACTCTTACCATGTCTGTGGAATAACTGCAGACATCCTGCACAATGCTTGCTTGGAAGGGATGGAGTGCATATGGTTCGGGTGTATGAGTTCTGACTATAACTGTGTGTTTGGACTTCCTGCCTCTTTTTCTTCATGATAAAAGAAGGTATTTCATTTCTTCAAGAACCACAAAAGAGCTGTTTACTTGCTGCTAATTTGTTCATATGACACTCATGCCTCCTGAGCACTCAAGAACCGTTTATAGCCAGGAATGTATCATCTGCTCATGAGTCATCAAGTTCTAATCAACACCAGTACTACTAGAGATAGATTGCTGTTTTACTTCAGTTCCTGAACAAACAATGGCCCTTCTTCTACATGGGCTCTGAGGACAGACTCTCACTGAATGCTAGTGAGGAAGATGGAGTTCTCTTAGCTCTTTCAAAAGGTTGTACTTGATGTCCTGTCACAGTTGAAGGCAGGAGCAGCTCTCAGGAAGCAGCAATAGTTGCAGTAGGCTGTCTTGTCTGGGCCTCTGGTTCTCTGGCCAGATGGTACATGTGCTGGTGTGAAGAATACAGCTTTTGCAGGGCTGCTTTTGTCTACTTGTTGACATGCAAGATACCAATATCAGCTCAGAAATGGCATGAGTACAAAGCTGTGGCTCAGCTCAGAAGGTTGCTGTTTAAAATTGACCTAGTCCTAAACTGCTTCCATATACCTGAAGTTACAGACACCTCAAAATTTGAGAGATCTGCCTTTGAGATTGAAAGATGGCATAGGTGGACTTAAGACTGCAGAGAGACTGAAAAGAGGCACAAAAGCAACTACAGGGAGGTGGACATTTAATTTTTGAAGTTCAAAAAATGTGACTGTGTTTGTTCAACAGCTGAAGTGACTGTGCCTAGTCTATCTGGAGCACTTCTAGTCTAAAAGAAGCAGGGCAAGAAGAGGTACCAAGCAAGTGAACAACCTCTGGCAGGTTAGAGCAGACAAGAACTGCCATAAGGAGACCCTTAGCATTTAGATGGAGAACTGCATCTGCTCTGACCAGCAGTTTTCTTGTGATAATTTTGATGTAATGCTTTCAGGAAAGTTATCTAATCAGAAAGGTAGCATGTCTACCTTGCCAGCAGTTTAGGGGGTTGGTAGTCCTGGAGAAAGCTGGCTGTGCCGCGAAGGGGTGTCCTCTGCACTGGTAATGGTGATGTGGTTTAGTGTCTTTGTATAATGTTACTCTTCTCACTTTTGTTGAAAGTGAGCTGAAGTACTTGATAAGGCCATGCTTAAGTGCTGTGCCTGATTTAGAAAACCGGAACAACAAACAACAAACTTTCGAGGCCACATCCTTAGTAGAGTGTAGTTTACTGAATGATGTAACAGTCCATCACAAGCAAAATAGGTGGAACAACAGTAACTGTGTCCTTGCTGCTGTGTTAAGGGATCACCTGCATAGAAAAACTCATAAAATAAGGAAGACTGAAAACTACAGATGTTGGTTTGCAATTACATCTAAAAAGCCTGCGTGGAAAAGTAAGAACAGAAGCCCATAATAGTACATGGAAGGAACCTTCTTGAATGCTTGTTTGCTAATTCCTTCAGTAGCATGAAAATCCTCTTGCATGTGAACAGAATAGGGCTGTCCACGCTGTGCAGAGACATGTGCAGGCACCTGTTCTGGGGAAGTGGAAAGGCATTTTATTCTGAAAATGGTGTATTGATAAGGGGATGGAGTTTTGGTTGTGTATTAACCTCAGTTTTGCGAGCCCCACTTTTGCAAGGGGCTCTGAAGTATATGGTAGGTAAAGAAAATTGGGCTGAAGTTCCATAGCTGCCCTAGTCTCATACTGCATACGTGCCAGCTGCCTTAGAGCAGAAATTGGCTAAATCTGGGTTCTGTGTGTTCTTGTACTTTCATGGTTCCCAGAGTAAGGCAACTTCAACGTTTCATTGTGCTCGATGAGCTTCTGGGGTACGAGTACCCAATAATACCTTATGAATCCTGTGTTAAGTAGTTTGAGGACTTTATCCAGTAAAAAGTAAAGCCAAAGTTTCCATAGTATTAACTATGCTGGTCATCTTCTTAGTGGCTTCTACAAATAAAAGTGCCCTAACTATTGCTAAGTACAAGCAAGACTTCAAAAGTTCGTGGTGTTTGACCATGGGATATGATGGAATCTGTCAGTGATTTTATATGGCAGCACTGTAGACTGAAAGCAGGTGGATGATGCTTCTGGATTCCCAAGACTTATAGCCATTTCCTTTCTGTTTTCTTAAAAGGCCTTGGGAAGAGTTTTAGGGAAGTTTATAAACTCATGGAAGCTGCCATCATTTTAATGGTGTCCTTTCAGACTAAAACTAATTTGTACTCTATATTGGATGCTGGAATCTGTTTGAGACAGAGAGGATGGCTCCTCTGTGGGTAATCACTGTTGCCGTTTTGCCCAGGCTGCTGGTGGGATGGTCTGCCATCAGTCTTCAGTGCAAAACTGCACTGTGTTTCTGGAAGGAATGTTGGAAGAGATTCTGATGATCTCTTGGCCATGGCCTATCAAAATATAAATGTAGTAACTGACAGCCTTTCATGCCCTCCCACTGTGCACTGAAGGGGAGGCTGGATGGCAGGTTCTGTAGAGCCATACCAGCTCTACAGATGGAGCCAAACCTTACCACCTTTGTATCACACTTCTACACAGAGAAACTGTGTAAAAAGTGGTACTAACTGTATAAACTATGTATTATCTTTCAGGTGGGAACCAGCGTGAACTTGCCCGCCAAAAGAACCTGAAGAAGACTCAGGAGAACCACAAAGGAAAAAGGAAAGAGGATAGTTTGTCTGCTTCTCAGAGAAAACAGAGGTAAGATCTAACGTAGCTCAGTGAGATGACTGGGCAAAATAGGAAAGGGAAATGGGTCAGAAAGGATCTAGTGTCTTAGGTGACACAATGTATATTGTATCTCCTTGTTAAACAGGTTTATTTTTTTAAGACCTGGAAGGCTTTTACTACTTTTGAACAGCTTTTTATCTGGTGGAAGCAGGGAAAGATTGTGTAATACTTTCTTGATCCATTATGTCCTTTTAAATCTAAAATAATCTTACAAGGTCTGCTGATCAAGTAGCTTGTCCACCTCATGGGGCACTGTACTGAAAAAAAACAATAGGGTGGTAGAAGCAGAGTGCTTATGGCTGAGAAGTTCTACACTAATCTTTTTCTCTTCTTGAAGTGGGGGTTGCTAAAGGACAAAAATAAGCTGGAGGAGACTTAGAAAAACAGTGAACCAGTATTTGAAATACAGCATTTTTTCTTCACAGAGACTCTGAAATTATGCAGCAAAAGCAAAAAGCAGCAAATGAGAGGAAGTCTCTGCAGACAGGAGCAAAATGAGCTGAGCGCACCATTGAAGCAGGAGGGCCTGGAAGATCATTCAGAAAGCTCTCTGGCCATGAATGGATGAAACATCTAGTTGTTCAACTAGCATTAGTTTAGAGTATTTTCTGGTTAGCATAATCTTAGTTGTCTGGAGTGCTGTTTCAAAACTGACTACGCTCTTCTGCATGCATATGAATAATTGTACCAGTTGTACCAAGCAATAGCTTTTCTCCAGCTTTTGGTGCGTTTGTTGTTGCACTTGAAGGTTCCATGAACAATTTCTGAATCTACAGTTAGACCAGATTTTGTCTTACTTCATGAAGTACACCTTCATTTAGAATGGAACACCCTTGTAAAATGTGCTTCACCTTGCAGAGGTCTCAACTGTAAATCTCATCCTAAATTATTTTTACAATAAAATCTTGCATGCACTATGGTCTAATCTGCAATGGTTATGTTTGATGATCAGTTGATTTCTAAGAAGTTACCAGGAATAGAGAGAATTGTGGAGAAACGCAATATAAGGAGGTAAGTGTAATAAGTATAAATGTCAGAATGTCAGAAATGCTTACTATATGCCATGTGATCTGCAGAGGGAAGTCTGCACTGTGGGAGATGCCTGCTGAGTTGTGGACTCTCCCAAGTGCCTGGATCTACTACTGATACTATTGGAGAAGCTGCAGGCATGAAGTTAATGAGCTGCAGATTTAAGCAGATACTAAAACTGCTGCATCACTAGAGTTATTTAAAATTGGTCCTTAAGGCAGCCTGCAGAGAAAGAACACGGTGCGAGAAAAGGCAGCGGCTGCTTTACAGACAGGCCTGGGCACCGGGTGCCGAGTGGGTGACACGAGGTCAGATCTGCACAGGT